AGCAGAAAATTTTCGGCAATCTGCACGCTCCTACTCGTCATCTGCGTTTGTTGTTGAACTCCGCCCGATTGTCTCTCGCTTCGGCATTGCCACTTTTACGCCGGATTGCCATCTCCTGACGCAACCCTCCTCATTTATCCGGGCTTGGGACCGGCACTCGGGGTTTATGGTAACCCTTCGTGGCTGAGTTAAAGATAGAGTTTAAGCTAGCCACGAATTTGTTGTTGTTAATCCGTGCCTTTAACTGCATGACTCGAAATTGGTTACCATTTACTCATTTGCAAACATTTTCACGACTCGAAATTGATAGTTTCATGTGCCGATCAGCGTATGAAATGTAACAAAAACATACAAAGAATGCAACTTGAATTCTCAGTGGCGCACAATGCGTAACATAAAGACCTTTTCATACTAATGAGTATTCAAAAATGGTTAAAAGAACCTTGAGCGAGGATAAGAAAGGAAATGTAGTAAAAGAACCAAAGAACCGACCCATCTTTCCGAAAATTTTCTGCTAGTCATTGTATGATTCAATTTCTACTTCTTCATATCTGAATTTAACGCCGAATTCTCGATTACCTGTTGAATAATCCAAGCATAAATGTATCATATTAAATTATCAATAACATAAAAATTAATTTGAGAAACTGAAAATATGTTGCGAATAAGATTCATATTCAGCTGCCTGCCATCATCACTGTGTATGTAACAGTGTAAGCATTAACGAAATAAACGTTATACGGACAATTCGCCACAGCATCACATTGTTACGTGTACTATACACTCTCAACAGTCTCACAATTCACTGTTGCACGAAGTGAATAAATGATAAACTGTGTGCACATGTTATTAGGGATGTGCTAATATAAACATGTAGCAGTGAGAACGGAATTAGCCATTTTGCAGGTACGATGCAGTCTCATAAAAGTTAATATATCCAAAAAATGATCTCAAATTTTCTCCTCCACCATTCACATTTCTCCACCAACACCAAAATATTATACAACTGCCGCTGTCCACTTGCAGTAATCGAATTGAACTTTAATTCCAAAAATATAAGTGCCATGAAAGATTGTGAAAATTGAGTCGCCATTCTCTAAAGAAACTTCTCGACAGGAATCTCCAAGAATCCTCGCCAATTCTCAAAATAATTTTACTCATAAAAACCTCTTAACATCGGTGGTGTTTACGCTTCTCACTCCACTAAATGATCAAAAATGAATAATTCGAAGTTACTCAGGTATGTACATCAGGAGTAATTCAAATGCAACGTAAAAAATAAAAAACAGAAAAGAATGGAGAAAATTGATCAAACACAAAGGACATGATCCTCTGTCCATTAGACCAGAATAGAACTGAAACAAAATAGGCACACTTTAGAATTTACGTAAGTTTTTATGACGTTTTCATATCACATGTATGGTTTTATAGATGATTGCAATAGTGTTGTGCGGGGAGTCCCCGAATTCGGAGTCCCCGTTCTCGAATCTCCGTCCCGTCTCCGAACATTTTCAAGCGACGGCCACTTTCGGGGACTCTCCCCGTCCCCGACCTTTTTTTCTCTCCCCGCACAACACTAGATTGCAAATAAACACTAAAATAACAATAAAACAATGAAGCAAAACTTTGAACAATGAATTCAAAATTTCAATTTCATGATGAATTTCAATTTCAACAAATTTCAAACAATTCAAATTTCATAATGACTGAACAAACGATTCAAAAATTGCTCGAATCCAAAGAATAATGAAATTTTGATGACTATAAGAGAACAGTGCCGGGTGAATGACTGCTTCTATGAAACAGTCATGCACTGTCCTCCTATAGAACTTCATTCCTATCATCATGACTACAACTAGCACTGAACAACATTCCTCCCGCATCGTAAGGGCACTGTGGCTATTCATAATAAACTCTAGCTCATCAAAAGAGCTAGTAATTTGAATTTCATATTAAAATCCTCCCACAGGAGGATCGCAACTATGGCATGATATTACACCCTTACGATGAGGTTATCATAATGAACATTTCATTATTAATATTAAAAATATCAAACTAAATAAGGGGTAATGCCGGGTGAATGTGATTATGTCTAAGACATAACCACATACATTACCCCTTATTTGATTATACATCCACATATTGATTAAATATATATTATGGCAAATTATTAAAACTTGATAACAAGACCAATAAAAAAGAACGAACTACATAAGCTCTTTAGAGGCGCCATAACTGCGACCTCTAAAGAGATGCACCCCTACAGAAGGGGTCCGTCAACTCAATCGGAATCAATTTCAGTTTTACAAAATTTGGATGTCATAAATTTCGGAACGATTCTTTGAAAAAAAACATATGACAATTTTTAAATGGGAATATTTTTTGCACCATTCCTCACGATGATGCAAAAAACACCCATTCTAAACTTGAACCAGTTACAACTACAAAGATGAGTTGTATGAAAACCTAGACAATGGCAATAAATGCTGTCTTAGAATAGCATATAAAAATGCTAATATAACATTAAAAAACTAGCACATTCAAAGCGAAAAAAATTCGCAAGGTTTATAGCTTATACTCCTGCCTTACGCATGTCAGATATAAGCTATAAACGATAACAACAACAATAATAAAGTATTATTATAAACATTAAAAACTGCGCGCAAACAAAAGAAACACAAACGTGAAAACGCGAAACATCCTTCAAAAAATAAAACAANAAAAAAACTGTCAATAAAAACATGAAAAACACAATAACAACGAGGCATTAACATTGACAATTCATGAAAATGCATTAATATGAACCAAAACAAAAAACATAAATAGCATAAACCAACATAAAAAAGTGGTAAATTGACAACACAAAACGCATGAAAAAGCAATGCAAAAATCGTAAACATACACATTACAAACATTCAAAAAGACCATGAAAACATCCACAATAATATAAACAATAACACATCATCATCACAAAATTAAAAATAACAACCATCAAAATCATAAAAAACCAACTAATAGCAGATAAATAAAAAACAATAACATATCGTCATCACAACATTAATAATAGGAACCATCACTATTATGAAAAATATGAAAAGCAATAATTAAACATAATATATATCATCGCCATCATCATCGAAATCAAACTGTCATTACAATTCAAAAAAACAAACTGTCACTAAAAACATAAAAAACACAATAACAACACATAAATCCTGAAAACAATAGTCAAATAACATTTCTGAAACATCTAATGACAACAAACCATAGGAATAATAATAAGTAACTTTTGTTGCAAACAAAGATTAAAAACGAAAACAATTTTCACTACGTAATGAAATTCAAAAAAACGAAACACCAAATGGGTCGCTTGTGACCCATATAAATATTTGTGTTGAGGGCACTTCGTAGCCCATTCGGATTGAGGGCGCTTCGTGGCCCATTTATAACAGTGCCGCTTGTGGCCTGTTGCTATGTCCGCTTCACTGCGAACCATTTGATTGGACCATTCCGTCGGGCTCAACTTGATTTACCGATGAAATAATCTGCAAAATGCGAATGAAATAATCACGTTGAACAATCACTTAATACAACAACTACACCAAGTATTCCCTTCAATAGAAATACGCATCCCTCCTCTCTTTTCATTTTTTCCCAAAATTATTCCATTTTTTATTCCCCAAAATTCAATCTGAGCCCAAAATAACGATCCATGATGGTCTCCACACCAATTCACAAAACTTCTCTATCCTTTACCAAATCATCGCTCATTGTTCACTCATCACAATACATTACAAATATTTGAAAACATCAAAATGCCAAACAAATAAACTCGACGATTCAAAAGAAATCGACACAAAATGCTCACCAGAAGTTATGAGGCATCTGCAATCGCCCGATCGAGTCAGCTGTTTTGTTCAGTTGATAGTGTCCATACTAGCATTGACCACATCATTAGTGGTCGAAATATTTCGATTCCATTTTTCACGAGGGTGAAAACCTTCATCACCCTTTCTTGCACTTCAAATCTGAAAATACATTGAATCTTACGCAAACTGATTGCTGTAATAATGAATGTAACCCTGCAGGAAAGATAAGCTCAGACACAAGCTTGATCTCAATCAACTGCAGCAGGTTTCTACTTGTGGCAGTTTGCTCCAACACATATTTTTTGGGGGAAGTAGTGCGTCAAACTTTATTGCCTCCCACTTCAAGCGAGAGTATGTGTGGCCCTGAAAGAAAATGGAAACTAATAAAAAAGAAGTAATTGAAGTAGGATACTCACGTAACAATGGCACGAATTGCGTCACTTTTTAAAATGTTGATTATCTGGTCCTTACGCCAATGTAGAGTACAGCAATAAACATCCGTGGAACCTGAGCCGTTACCCACGGTTAGTAGACACATTTCATTTTGAATGATTACTGAAACCATTCTGGCATTGTTGAGCTCGAAGACCATTTTATCACCAAAATTGATCTGAAACAAGTGAATCACTGCACTGACAGTGTCACTACACGCAATAAAACCCAACAATCATCGTATACTAACTAAACTTTTCTTATGGAATTGAATATTCCACTACAAAAACTCTCCACAACGCAAACGAATCAATCCCTAAAACATCACATCAAAACTTGAACATTACAAGTAGTAATGTTTGAGCCGGTATAGCCGCTGTCTAAGAATAAAACATACTAAAAGTCGACGTTCAATCAGTAAGGAAATGATATGAGAATTTGAAATGAAAAGAATAATGAATGGGGAATACTCACGAGAAGTGTCCATTTTTTTGCAGCAAACATGACGAATTGCGTTGAACGAGCCACTGAGGCCACTGTATGGTTGGAGGAAACCAAGGCTATACCGTTCGTAATGCCTTCAGAGGCTTTCAAGTTCTCAGATTGTCCTAAAATAAAGAACGATAACCGAAGGAATTAATAACA